GGGAGGGAAGGAAGGAAGGAAGGAGGTAGGTACGGTACGGTACGTACGTTCGTTACGTTACGTTACTTACGTACGTAGTAGTAGAGAGAGGAGGAGGAGGAGGGAGGGAGGGAGGGAGGAGGAGAGAGAGAGAGAGAGAGAGAGAGAGAGGCAGATGCTCTAGCAAAAACAAGAGTTATTACTGAGGCTTTAATGATTATGTTATTTTTGATTTTTTGATTTTCAGTTTGTATGAAGATTGTTTTTGTTGTTGTATTGGCCAAATGACTTTCATGGTGATGTAATTTGCAAAGGATGATGTAATAAAAATGTTGTTGTTTCTCAAAAAACAAGAGAGAGAGGGAGAGAAAAGGGCATTACAAAAGGCCTGCATTTTTATTTTTCAAGGGTGGATTTGATTTTTTTTAAAGGGGTGGTACTTGGTGGGCGCCCACTCCTAGGCGCCCGCCTTGGGCCTGCCTAGGTGATCTCCTAAGCAATTGCCTAGGCAAGCCCACATAGACCCCACCGCATAGGCATAGGTTTGTCGGCCAGGCCGCCTAGGCAAGCCGCTGGCTGAATTTTTCATAACTGGCTGTTAATGAGTCAGCCACACTTCCGCTGACCTGCTCTGATGGCAATGCCCTAAATCTCTTGAATGCTCCGCCTCTTTGTTATCCCTGAGATCTTCAATGGCTTTATCAGTTCCCTTGCAACCTCCTCTCCATATTCTTCACGAGCAAGATTCTCTTCCAAAACATAATCTTGAACCTCATCATACATCAGATCTCCTACTTGTTGTTCAGCTGAGCATTTATTGAAGATTGATGGCGAATCCCGATCTACAACATGCTGATTTTGGATACAACCTGTGTTAGGAATGTATGCCTTTAAATTGAAACCCTAGCGTGATGTGCCCCACGTTTGGGTCTTCTATCACGTTCCTCTTCACTCAACTCCTTATGCAGAGTAGGACAATGAAAAGGTTTGTACTTGATGTCTTCATGGGCGGAAAGATTGTTGTCTTGTCCTGGAGTGATGCATGTGAGTTGTTGTGCAAGTTGTTGAGCTTGTCTCATGAGATTTTCAATTTCTGGATCTCTGGCATCATAGGGTAGGTCTATGAGAGGCCTCTTCTTGCTGCCATAGGTTCGCCAAAATTACAAGCCCTAGGCAGAAAATCAGCGAACCTAGCTGAAATCATCAAGTTCTAGGCTGAAATTAGTAAACCCTGGGCTGAAATTAGCAAATTCTTGGCTGAAATCAACAAACCCTGGCCTAAATTGAGCAAACCCTAGACTCGATTGAAGATTTTCACCCTCATTGCTCAAGAATCTTGTGCTATAATACCAATTGATGTAGAGATTTAATGAAGAAAACAAAAAATTAAACAAATTTCAACCAAAGAACAAGCATTGATTAAAAAGATCCAGGTTTCCTTCCCAAAACCCTAACTAGGTAGCAAAATAGAGCCCGATGCATCTCTTTTTATTTCATAGTTTACTACAAAAGTCAATGATGCCCCTATACAAAAATGAGATTGACTAAAATAGTCCTAACTTAAGACAATTATTCCATAAGCATTCTAAATACTTTTCTAAAGAACTCCTAATATCCTAAAAATATAAAAAAAACCCTAGAATCCTGAAAAAAAAATTAAAACCCTAAAAATAAACCCCAAAATTAAAAGCAAAATATACATCCTTTGAAATTAAACAAAAATTAAAAAGAAGAATACTTTTGTCGTCATTATTTATGTATTGTGCTATCTGAATGAACCATTGATTACATAAAAGAAAACATATATTGGGTAATATCATAGGATTCTTTCTTTTGGCTTACCTAATTACGTTGAGGAAAATGCATTCCACAATTACAGGGATCAGAGATGGTATATTATGCATGTGGTTTTACCTGCTTTCAGCCATATGATGAGATAGACATGAGTATATTCACTTATCTATGGCCTTTATCTTGCTCTGAGTAAATTTCTCCCTTTAAAGATCCCGAGTTTAAAGCAATGTGGCAATTTAACACTCTTTATGGGAGTAATAAATTGTATATTCTGGATATGTCTTGACATCCCCAGCCATGTAGCTAGATTGATGGAATTGATCTGTGAGTGAGGATTAGCTCCATTCTTTTGGGATTTCTCCTTTTGGTTACATGTGACTCGGATGCTGACTAGTTTGGTTGATAACTACATTGCTGGGGACACTATGTATGCAGTGTTTTGTGATGTGTGATTCAACATTGTAACCTGTAGGAGTTGTTTCTTAGTGTATGTAAACAGCAGTACTAATTGACTAGCATGTTGGTGAAACTGACCTGCATAAAATTATGTTCAGGTCTTCTTGGAGCATTTGCTCCTTGTATGCTCTATGCAAGCAATGTTGAGAGGATGAGGTCTGGTGGATATCTGGGTAGCTGTACGGCTTATGCGTTGCTTTATTTTCTGGGCTATTCATTTTATGGTTCCAACTGCCTGGCACCTTGTATAACCTATCCTAGCCGTACAGAAATTCGTAGGCAATTCAACTTGGAGGTAAATCTTTGTTTCTTTTTCTTTTTTTTTATTTAAATATAGCTTTATTGGCTAGTTGTTATCTGATTTTAGAATGAATATTTCATGGAAATTCTTCCTAGTTGGATTTTTTTGTTGCATTTGTGTGATTGTGTGCCTGGATTTCGAGGGAAAATTTGTGAATTTTGTATATCTTGAAGGAGGGAAATTATTGTAGACTGCATTTTGAGTTCCATTTTCATATTGGTGCAGCAGGCAAGTTTTTGCTCCGTGATGCATGTATTTTGCTCCTGATTTTTGTTAAGCATAAAAGCGTTTAGAATTATTGGCAAGACCAACTTTGGCAAATGCTCCAAACTGGTACTGAGTTTGTTCGGTGGATTGTAGGCAAGACCAACTTTCTGGCATAGAATCTGGCATGTAACGAAACTGAGTTTGTTCGGTGGATTGTGCTTCCATTCTCAGAAAATCCAGGCAGAGATATCTCTTTTAAATATATTCCATTCTGTTTTTACTGTTGTATTCCATCAATTCTTTAACTATGCCTTGTATTGATCTAATGGAGAGATTGCAACTCCAAGATTTTAGGAATAATGTAATACAAATAATTTAAATCTGCGTGTATGCATGTCGGTCAATAAATGACATTGAGACATGTATTATTTCCCTCTCAGCTCCCTCTCGATTCCAAAGATGTCGGAATCTCGATTCTATATTTCTATATTGTTCGATTCCAACTAGGTCGGAAACTTGATTCTAAAGAGCTTTAAATCTCGGTTGCATCTATGTAGGACTCTCAATTCTATTTTGGTAGAATCTCGATTCCTAAAAATAGGAATCTCGTCCCCCACGATTCCTCTTGTACGGTCCTCAATTCTGAAAACAAGAATCTTCCAGCGGGAGGTGATTTTGCGCTTCTTATTTCTAAATCGTTTCGCGTAACTATGGGCCGTAGTTCCTAGTTCCCCAATTAAAACTATCCAACCCCTTTGTTTCTCATGTATGCTGCCATCCAGCCCCCATTGGGGTCCCACAAAATGTTGTACGCCTAGGTCCATGGGTTGCCTTTATAGGCTTTGTCAAAAAAGGGTAACGCAAACCAAAAGGGGGAGAAAACCAAGAAAAGGTCACCATCCTGGACTTGTCAGAGAACCTGGTTGAATGGTAAACTGCAAAAGATTGAAGCAGTCAGCTATCTTCCATTTCAGATGAAAGCATGAGGACATCCCCTGAATGATCAATCTCGTAATTTTACATGAGTCTATCCTAGTTCAGACTGTTATATGTGTAAGGTTTCCTAGTCCCCAAATTTCCCCATGATCCACTTTAAAAAGCCAAACAGATTTGTTCATATAGTGTTATGTTCCATTAACACTATCTGAGTAATAGATGAACAGGCAATGATATAAGCCCTGCACCTACTGCAATAACAGTCTCATTAGTCTTTATCTCCTCAGGAACCGGAACATAAGAAAAACATGGGATGAAGCTTCAATTGTATATGTGTAGATGATATGTTGGGAAACCAAAGAGACCCATGTTGGGCATCATTGACCATGCTAAAGTAAATGCTGCAAAAAATTGTCCTCCCAGCCCCTAGGTAGCCGCCTAGGCTGCCTTGTCAGGCCTGGGCGGACCTTCCTGGGTGGAAATTTCTGGGCACCTCCCCAGGTGGGCTAGACAGACACCCAGTGCTCAGGAACTTAATAAAAAAGGCGGGTTTTTTTTTTATGGGGCTATTTTGGGTCATTTTGACCCACAAAAATGGGGTATTCTAGTAAAAAAAAAAAACTCTTCATATGCTGTAGAAACACCCAAAATTGATTGATTTTGTGATTTTCTCGAAATGATTTTTTTTGAGAATTTCGTAGAAACATCTGAAACCTTACCATATCTTCTTGCAATTAATTTAGGGTTCAAATGAGATTCTTAGAAGACTTTTGGGGTGATTATGAGCCTGTTAGACAACCGCACATTAAAGTCGAAACATCAAGGCATTCAATAATTAAAGATCTCCTCTTTCTTTTCATTTGCATAGCATCTTTTGTACAACATCATCTTGTATTGGTCATTTGGTGTCATTGGAGACTTGTAGTCTATGGCTGTATGATGTATGGACACTAAATCACTAATACACTATATACTTATGTTTTTCTTTTCACTGTTTTATGGCTTGTTTGGCTCCATGATCTAACAAACCCAGGGTTTGAATTAAGAACTTATTATGTCAAACCTTGGTTATGCTAAAACCTGGTTACTGAAACATGAATGTTTTTCTCTAAAAATTTGTAGATATTTTCTCGCTCTAATTTGATATAGTTTCTCTCTCTAAAATTTTTAGATACTTTCTCTCTAAAACTTAAAATTTGAGATAGTTTCTCTCTAAAACATTCTCTCTAAAAATTTGTGGGTATTTCTTCTCTCTAAAATTTGCAATAGGTTCTTTCTCTAAAATTTTTAGATACTTTCTCTCTCTAAAACTTAAAATTTGAGATAGTTTCTCTCGCTAAAAAACTTGAGATAGTTTTTTTCTAAAACTCTTCAAGTAGTTTCTCTCTCTAAAATTGGATCTAGTATCTCTCTAAGATTTTAAGATGCTTTCTCTCTCTCTAAAACTTAAAATTTGAGATAGTTTCTCTCTTTAATTTGTGGGGGTATTTTGGCAGAATTAGTTGTATTTGATAAAGTGTGTGGCTCCGGTGTGTGAAAATAATAATAATAATTATTATTATTATTATCAAAGAGGGGGTACCTTCAAATAATGCCAAACTATATTATTTCAGTATCAGAAATAATAATAATTATTATTATTATACTAATAATATAATACGATAATACATGTTATTATATTATTATGGCACTCATTATTAATAGGAAAAGGTTTATATAAGGGTGGGGTCCTAAACAATCAAATTAAGGTGCGCCTCAAAAATTCATTAGAAAATGTTGTTTTGATGCTGAAAAACCCTCAATTTGATCTTTCTGACCTCAAGATGTATGGACATGAGAAAATATAGATTTCAAGTCTTGGAAATAGTGCATCTTGTAGTATATTATCTAAACCGTCAATTTCAATTGTTCATAGATCTGCTCGATTTACACTATTTTTTTACTTTAAATTTTATAATTAGAGATGAAAATAAATTTTCAGGCCATCATAAAGATTTATGATACTGAAACAACATATTTCGGCACTATCACCCCACTTTGATTTTTTAGGGCCTTGGCCTTATACAAACCACACCCTTATTAAAATATGCTGTTCTATTTTTATAATAATATTGTATTACTAATATCATTATATTATAATACTATTAATATAAATAAAATAATATTATAATAGTATTATAAATAAAATAATATCATTATATTATAATACTATTAATATTTTTTATTCTCTTTGTATGCTTTTCCTATTAATAAAATTATTGTATTATCATCAGTATTGTATTGTATTCCTACTCTCATGCTTACACAAAATCATGTTTTGAATAAGCCAACTTTTTCATTGACTTTGTGTACCCATGTTTGACCCTCTTTCTTACTTTCAGAAAATGTGATTATGGGTCCAAAATGTTGCCAACGCATGTTTTTGTGCAAAATACCCTGGGTATGCAAAACATAATTTTGGATACCCTAGGATCCAAAAGACCCATTAGTTATTCAAAGAAGAAAAAATTCAGTGATTTAAACGAGTTTCTACATTCACACACATTTGTATAAGAAACTTAGAATACATATAAATGCATAAGTATACATTTTTAACACATATATAGGCATATATGTGCTATTGGACAGCACATATATGCATATATATCTCAAACTTCTGGGCACAAGAGGTTCTAGGCGGCCACCTAGGCACCCTTGACCCTCCCGGGCACCTGTGGGGCTGCCTGGCATCTTTTTAAACCTTGGCTTAAGTAGATATTCATTAATAGGATCATACATGTGCCATAACCATTTGGGGTGGGATCATACATGTGACATAACCTTGGAAAAGCTTTTTTGGTAGGACCACATTTGTGTCTTCTGCACTAGAAAATTACTAGTGAGTTGTTTCGGTGCACATTGTTACTGGTATGTGTAGAAACTATTTAAATTATTTGTTTTTAGCAGCCTTAGTTTGGAATGGGCTGTTTACAAAATGAATATTAGGAATAGGAAATTTTCTGTATTTCATCCATTACTATATTTACAAAGAGGAAGGATGCATCTACCTCTATGGCAGATAATCTACACAAAATGTTGCCTGAAAGAAATCTAGATATGCTCCAATTTGTATGTGGCTGATGGATAGCTAGGATGACAGTTTACACATTATTATATTCTTTTATTGCACTGTTTTGTAGAATCTGGATTGATTTGTTGATGCTGAAAAGCTGCCAAAGATAAATGTATTATATACTCAAAATAAACTTACTTTGAAAACATTCTCAAAAAAAAAAAAACTTTAAATTGTCAGTATTTATCATCTATTTCCATTTCAGATAGATGGAATCAGCAGTCACTATTGAGACTACAGCAAAAAGGAGTGCTTGTAGATGCCCTTGGGAAAATATTATTCTTATATTAATCAGGGTAAAGTAACACATATTTTATGTGTTACCAGTATTATCTTTTCAAGAACAAGGGACAAAAATAGCAAAAGAAATATAGAGACATTGTACCTGGGCAGCAATCTCCGTCCCAAAACCAAAAGCCCATATTCTATGCTTTAGGTGATTTAATATTGTTCTTATATTATTAGTTCAGGGTAAAACGAGACATATTGTATGTGTTACCAGTATTATTTTTTTAAGATCAAGAGAAAAGAAATAATCCAAGTACTAAATATTGTTGTTTTAAGAAATATAGCGCCTTCTACCTGGGCAGCATTCTCGGTCACAAAATTTCAAAACCCCATTTTCAATGCATTAGGTGATTTCTATTGGAAAATATCTTCGCAGTTGGCTTTTCCAATACCGATAAGTGAGTACCAGATGTTTGTAGTATCCAAAAGATGAAGGATAGTGATTCCATATATTGTATGACTTGCACGAGACCCCCCTTTCTAGTAAATGGTGCTGAGTGAATCTCTTTTTAATTGAACCATTCACAACTCATGTTCTTTTTTCTTTGGATATTTGTTAATTTGTTGCCCTTTCATGTTTTCCATTTATTCACATTGGCAACCTTTATGATTGTGCAAATTGCATATTATCAGGAGATCAGTTTTTTTAATATAAAAATACTTCTATATTCCTGGAAATAATTTAACTATGCAACTTTCTAACAAGATCTGCGTCTAGGAATTATTTATAAAGTTTGCTCTCTATTCCAGCTGTTGGGTTGGCATCTTGCCGAAGTTACTTGATTTTGAATGACACCATTTCGCGTCCTAATCATCATCTATTTAATATTACTTCATGTTCTCCATTTTGTTTGTGGGTTATCACCTCATCTCAACATTCATTGTTAGAATGATAGTAATGTATATCCCATACTAGAATGGAGTTTAATGGACCGTGCTTTTCATTTTATTCTAATAGGAGGGTAGCGTTCTTTTTTTTATTTCTGTTGGCTGATGTTTGTGAGGGGAAGAGAACAGGGGAGCTGCAGTGCTTTGATCAGATCTGGATGCTGCACCTCTTGTATTGAGGATGAGGAGCACCTTGAGGAATGGGATGTCCGATGTGACCATGCGAGTCACTTCTTTTGCCACAACTTTACCTTATGCCAAGAAGGTCGTGAGCTTCGACGAAGGCTGCCTCATCCTGGCTTCTATGGGCGATCGATGTTGGTAATGAGCCCTCCTTCAAACCAGGCTATGGCTCGTGGACCCTAGACTTGACGATTGATCCCATCATCATAACCATTGTTTGTTTCTTGGTCTTAGCTATGTGGTAACTTGATCTAGATGGGGAGGCTGAACTCAGGTGATATTTACCTATTTTACAAACCAAACTTGTTGGTCCTCGTGCACATAATATTGCTGTGATATTGTTTGTTTTGAAAGTGTCCTTTTGAAATTGGTGCTTGTTTCTCAACCCAGAGAAAAGGAGGGGAATAAGGGAGGTTTCACTCTTGCTCTTATGTTAGTGCTAAGAGCTAAACTGAAAATATGAGTCTCTGTTTTTCTTCCGAACTCTGGAAACACACTTGTATGATATTCCTTTTTGTTGGATATTGTTATGTATTGCGAGATATCTCGTATCTCCTGCATATTTATGGTTAACAGTGGTTCGGTTTGCCCAGCTCAAATGGCTGGACCTGAAAAATTAGGGCCTGGGCTACAAAATGTAGCGAGGGCTCGAATATAGGACCAAGCTAGGCTAAGCTTGGGCAGGACAGGGCTTGATCTGAGTGGAAATTAGGCTGAGTTGTCGGGACTCGGGATTTTATTTCCAAGATCAAATTGTTTTACTCTCTTTCTGTCTAATATCCCTCTCCTTTCTCCCTCTTTGTTATATATGAAGATTCTCTGCAAAGTAATAGCTCAAGATAATATAATAATAAAACAACAAAGAAAATAGAAAAACTAGGACGAAAGGAGAACGATAAAAAGTCTCACACTCCTTGAGAGAATCAATATTTCAAAACTCAAGTCCAACTCTTTTCCACGTGCCACCTCCTATATTTTAAATATATACTTAGAAAGTTGGCCCTTTGGAGCAAAGATTTCCTTAACCTCTTAGAGTATTCATAAATGATAGAAGTCAAAGATGAAAAACATACGCTACTTGTGCAAAATAGAAAGGAAGAGTCACGACCACTTGTTCGCCTCTTGCACCTTTGGCAAACTGAAGTGTGCAAATTCAACATGGTTACAATAGTATCGCACAATTTTTCCAAATAAGTTTCTTGGGAAGAACACTCTCCCTACCATAATATGAGTGACTTGTCAATTCTTAATCTAAGAAAAATGAAGAAGCTTGGTGCTTCTCTCTCTCATACCACGGAAGGAGCCTTGTGCTTCTCTCATCTCTCTTCCATGGAATAAGTTTGGTCTCTCTCTCCCCCACTCTTCTGCCTCTAAAGTTTTAGGAATCTATATAGATCGTCTAACTTGTTCCATCATCGAACTGAATGGGAGATGATCTATATATTTGAGAGAAAATCTCTCTTTTTTTGTATTGAAGTCCCATATATGTATATAGAGGTGGTTACGTTGTATAACTTGTGTGATATATAAAAAAAGAAAGAATATATCATGCATGATCATGGAAAGATCATCCTATTCAATAAAAAGAATAAGGCAAATGTACACAATTTCACGCTCCCTTTTAAATTCTTGATGGTCAAAAGCGAATCATTGAGAGTTTGTAAGCAAGGCGTGAGAAACGAGGAGAAGTCAGCAAGCTGTGCAGAAGATGAGATGTATGGAAGAGAGATTGTCCCGACGAAATAGTCTTGTCGAACAAAATGGCAATGTACTTCAATATACTTGGTGCACTCATGGAATTCCGGGTTCTTTGCAATATAAATCGTACTTTTGTTATCACAATATTAAAAGGTAGACTATGTGATAAAGCATGGTGGCTATAAATTTAAAATTTTCTTTTCTTTCACCTGCAAGATCACTTACAATGTCTAATTACAAATAAAATCACTCTTAAAATAAATAAATAAAAACCGGTTCTCACTTGCTACCACTTAAATACAACTTTTTTATTCAATAAATAAAAACTTGAGACATTGCTTTTTGGAAATAGAAGAGCACATCAAAAAAATAAGATAAAACAAGTAAAATTGCCGGAGATTACCTATACCGAGTCACCTCCTTCAAAAGGTGATCGAGATCAATGATCGATCTTGATTCTACTAGTATGGCAAAACCCTCCAAAAGCATATAGATCTCGATCTAGAACCAAATTGCTAAAGCCTCAGTACCCTAGCCTTCTTAGTGGGGCATGCCCCTTAGTGTGAGAGAGAGGCCTAAGTGGGGCATGACCCCCTAGAGAGAGAGAAAGAATGCTTAGAGAGAGCTTTAGAGAGAGAAGAGGAGAGGTGTAGAGATTTTAGGGAGAGAGATCCCCTATTTAAAGATTTTTCATGCCTTAGGATTTACCACATTTAGTGATATCAAATCTAAACCATTGACCTAAGGAATTTTGTGGGGTGAGAGTTGTGGGTCATGCATTCTTTAGATCTACCATCAAGATTCAAAGAAAGTTGCTAGAACATTATCCTCCATTTTCTAAACTTATTCTCATAAGATACTCAAATGAGGAAAATATATTCACACTTTCTCTTTTAATGGATATTCATTTTATTATTTACTCAATCAAAATATCTTGATTCACAAGACATACCATAATATGTTATTTACATTCCTAAACTAAGGAGGTTTCATACAAAAATAGAAAGCCAACTTGCATAGAGGCTTCTCTTACAAAGCTTAGTAAGTAAGCTCCTATGGGTCATGTGTTTAAATGGGTCCCCATGTCATATGGTGGGTCCCTCATATTTTAGTAAATATTTTATTTGAATTTTAGAATTTAAAAATAGAATTTATTTCTCTTAGTTTATTCAAAACATTAGAAATGAATTTTCTCTTATATTATAAATCCAAATGATAAAAATAAAATATCTAGTAAATATAAAAAATTCAAATAATCATTCTAACATGAAACTAATTAATTTTGATGAGAATCAGATCCTTATAGGTGTAGAAATTATGAATATATTGGAGCACTTCACCTGCAACTGTGGACCACGATCCATACTAACTTTATTAAGCTGACCTAGTGGTTCCCACGACCCACATCCATTGAAGGAGTTCATGATTGTGCTACCAAAGTCAACCAATAGGCTAGGGTACATAATCCTAGTATATGGAGTGCAGGTTCTGCCCTAGAGACAAATGGTCCTCAGACTATGATGCAACAACGGCTCTATGGAGTATAGGGATAATCTCTCGCACATGTACATGCTTCACCCGCAATAGTGGATTCCTATCTCAATATGGCGATCTATGCACATACTATATTATGGTACATGAATGAGGCTTTAGCCCACACACAAGGGCCACACAGTCCCTTGGCTCACTCATCCGAGCAACTCCGACCTCATTGAGGGATGACCCATTGAACCTTCATCGATTTAACTCTATCCCCAGGTACCTTGGGTTTTCCAACTCGACTGACCTAGAACGTTGAGCCATAGCTAAGTATCCGCAAATAACATTTGCGTAGTATTATCTACAAGAGGATCACACTCCTACTGAGTTTATGTTTCACCATATAAAATATTTATACAAGCTCTCATAACACCTTTAATAGCCACATAAACCCAACAATATAAGGGAGTGGGTTTAGAAAACTCCACATCTAAGTAGGCTAATAATTAACGAACCTAAACAATCAAAACCGTTGTTTGGGCTATTGTTCGATACTCAGCTTCAGCTATTGACTGAGCAATATGTTACTGCTTTTTGTTCTTTTAAGAAAGAATGGAGTCACCAAAAAAAATACAAAAACATGTAGTAGACTTTCGATCAGTTGTATCCCCGTAAAATCAGAGTCAGTATAGGCACAAAGCTCAACAATGGAAGACGAAAACAACAGAGCACAATCAAGGATGTCTCGAATATAACAAATAATACATAAAGTAGCTGCCGAGTAAACAAAACAAGGGGCACTCAAGAATTGACTGACAAGATGAATAACATAAGCAACGTCTGGTCGAGAGATAATCGAAAAAATCAAACTTCCAACAAACTGCTTATAAAATGTGGGATCAGAAAGAGGTTCATTATATGTAGAGCAAAGTTTTACATTAAGTTTAGTAGGTGTGGCTACGTACTTTGTATCATCCGCTAGACGAGCTTGAGAAAATATATGTGGCTTATTTGAGTTGTGAGAACAAATACCCATGTGAAAAATAAGCAACTTCTAGGTCCAAAAAATATAAGAATCCCAAATCTTTCATCTCGAAAAGTTGATTAAGTTACCGCTTGATTTGATGCATAATAGCCTTATTGTAGACACCACATTTTAAATCTGGTAAATTCTATAATTTCTTGGACTCTTAGGACCACACCTATCCTAGTAAACCCAAACCCATAGTTCACACAACCTATCTTGTGACTCGGAACCAGTCTGCCTGCCCAGGACCCTGCAAAAACCTGTTTTGACCCAGATTTCTGTAAATGCCCTGTTTTACCAAAAAACTAATTAAAAATAGTAAACAAATCTATTTTGACCCAAATGTTTTTTGAGAGCTTCATAAGAGGCTGTGGAAGACATGCAAATTGAAAACAAAAATCAATTTGGAGAATTTTTGGTTTGGGCGACATTGACAATGTCGCCCAAGTCATCCAGTAAATGTCATGTTTTACCAAAACAGTCATTAAAATTAGTAAACAAATTTGTTTTGACTCAAATTTTTTTTGGTAGCTTCACAAGAGGATAAATAATGTATTCAAAGTGAAAAATTTTGGATTTTGACCAAGTATGACTTGGGCGACATGGGAAAAGTCACTCAGCCTGGACTGGGTGACACGCCCAGTGTCGCCCGAGCGGCACAGCCTGTGTCGCACAGTCCCTTTTGCCCCGAACTGAATTTTGGTGCTTTTAAGATGAATTTTAAACTTTTCTTAGGCGACACTAGGCATGTCGCCAGGGCGACACGGCCCGTGTAGCCCAGATCCATGACCCTCAAAATTCGCACTTTTTGACCGAGGATTTGTTTATTACGTAAGTTTATCTGTCCCACCAAGCTTTGACCCCTATCAGCCCTCTTTTCGTGGGTATTTAGAAGGCAATGATCAAGGGATAGAGGAGGAACGATGAAGGATAGAGATAGAAAACTCAAAAAGATGAGAACCCTAGGGATAACTTTAGGAAACCCCCACCCTCCTGGAACTTTAGCCCTTAAGCCTGAGAGAGCCTAGATCTAAGACACCTAGAACCATCTATAGGGCACAACCACCCTATACTGAAGAGACTTGCTGGCTAATATCCGGATCAGAGAGACAAAAGAGGACCGGTTCTGATACGGGCAAGCCCTAAAAGGCTCGAGAGTCCCGAGTCATCCGCCCGGTTCGGTATCATTTTCTTTCGTTTTATCTCTTTTTATTTTATTGTTTTCATTTTATTTTGATCTGTTGGTTTACTGAAAACTCGTATCTTGCAATGTCTTGGATCATGCTGGCTCTGTCACATATTTGAGAGTAGATCTGCTCGTTTTTTGGCAGATCTAGCCTCAGATCTGAATTCGAT